TATCCGTGGCTCAATGGATAGAGCGTGGGCCTGCCGACTGAAGGGTCCTGGGTTCGATTCCAGTCAAGGGCATGTACTTTGGTTGTGGGCACATCCCCAGTAGGGGGTGTACAGGAGGCAACTGATCGATGTTTCTCTCTCATCGATGTTTCTAACTCTCTATCCCTCTCCCTTCCTCCTTCCTCCCTGTAAAAAATCAATAAAATATATTTAAAAAAAAAGACTTTTAAAAACAAAACAAAAAACACCCTGCAACCCAGGTACGTACGCTTGACTGGGAATAGGACCCAAAACCCTTCAGTGCATGGACTGACGTTCCAACCACTGAGCAGCTTGGCCCAGAACTAAGGTTTGTAATTTTTTTTTTAAAGTACATATTATTATGGTGGGAGGGGCCCATCAAAGTCACAATGCAGAGCTGAGGGATTCTAATGGCTTGTTCCCTTCCAAGCCCAGGCTTTTGGGGTGGGGGTGGGGGGGTCAAGAAGAGGTGTGTGTGTGTGGACCACGCTTGCTGTCACAGAACACCGACAGCAAACACAGTTCTAATCAAATGGTACCCCTTTCCCAGCCCCCCACACTACATAGTCTATGGCTTTTGCTGCCCTGGGTGTGGTGGGGTGGTGGTGGGGTCTAGGGTGGGCTTCTAAAATGGGGAGAATCCTGTTGGTTTTTTGTTTCTGTTCCTATAAACTTGGAGGTTGAGGATACTTGCAGATGTATGGAGCCGTTGCCAAGGCTGCACGGAGGGCTCGTACCCCCTCGCCCATCGCTATTAACTCAACCCCAGGCCTTATTTGGATTTCGCTCATTTTTCCCGCGAATCTCCTCTCTCCGTTCCAGGATCCAAGCCGGGCCAAGGCACCTCAGCCAGGGGTCACCTCACTTTCCAGACCTGCTCTGGACCAAGGCCCGGCCTGAGGGGTAGCGAGGAGAGCTCTGGCCGCAGCAGCTCCTGGTCCGGGGCGGGAGGGCACGGTGAGCACTCACACTGCACAGGAAACTGGCCACGGGCGGCGTGGGCACGGCGAACGCCACAGCAGCGCTGCGGGAGGGATCCACGAGCAGGCCTGGGCGCTGCCGTACGGCTTGGATAAAGCGAGGTTTCGATGGAAAAGCTAGCCTGAATATTAACACTGAGCACTGTGTTTGATGGGATAATTATTTTATATTTGTAAAGATTCTTAATTATCTCCAGCAAATGCCTGGAGCTCACTTGGTAATTGAATGAAGGAAAATGCCTTTTCAAGCATTTATTATGGTGGCAAGGGCTCATCCCAGCACTGTAAGTTGTTGCTATAATGATAAAAAGAGAGAGAGAGAGAGAGAGGAGAAAGAATAACTTTAAAGTATTTCCCTGGCCTGGACAAACTCGTTATTACAGAAAGCTTCGCAATCCCATTCGGGGCATGGCCGGCTCTAATATAGAGGGCATGCTGGAGGCGCAGGATTAAAACCTGAGAGTCCGTGGAAATTTCCTTTCTTTGGGGAGCTTTTGTTGACCCCTGCTTAGAACTGACTCTTCCTCGGTGAGCCCTGGGCATACTTCTGTCTTCGTGCTTGTCACACTGTGCGGTGATCATCTCTGGGTCTGTCTCGTGTCCCTTTCACCACCCTCCCCCCCTCCCCAGGCCTGTGTGTCTTGAGAGCTGGGACGACATCAGGGGTGGGGAACCTTATTTCTGTCCAGGGCTGTTTGGATATTTATAACATCATTCGCAGGCCATACAAAATTATCACCTTAAAAATGAGCCTGCTATATTTGGTCCAACATTTAATTAACTCACCCCTAATGCCTTGGCAGGGCCTGGTGACATGATTTTTCTGGCCTTGTTTGGCCCGCGGGGCGGACGTTCTCCATCCCTGGACTACATCATGCCCCCCAGGAATCATGTGCCACCTCCCAGATGGAGTCAACCCCTTCTTGCACGGCCGTGCACCTTCCTTCATGAAGCCCCCTCTCAGCGTTTTATCTCTGATGGGCACATCCGTCAGGGTATGGCCACCGCCACAGGCTGCAGTGTCCTGTTCCTGCAGTGTTGTCCATCCTCTTCTGCTCCTTAGCTCTGGGCCCCCACGGAGACCCCAGGCGTCCAGCTTTGCGTTGGCCGTCCTAGGTGAGGACCACCCTGCTGCCATCAGCGAAGGCAGGTGCAGAGGGGATGGCCTGGGACACGGGTAGGCATGATGGGCACAGCTGGGGGTCCCAGCCTAGAGAAGGGCACCAGGCCTGGAATCGAGTCCTGCCCTGTCCCTCGTCAGGGGACGGCCCCTGAGTGAGCCGGGGCATGTCTGTGCCTCAGCTTTGTCACTGTAACCCCATACCCAGTGGTGGCAGCACGAGGTGAGGTGTGTCCAGGGTCGGCGTGCGTTACTCACACCACTTCCTGCTCTGATCCTGTGGCCGAAGTGGCCCGGCACCCCCAAGGGGGGCACGTTTGTAACTTTCGTTAACGATGGACAGATTTATGGGCTGCTGCCCATGGTGACGGTTTCAAAGGGCAGCTCTGGGCAAGGGCTCCTTCCCCATTTTTATAGAATTCCACATCCTTTAGGGATCTTGGGATTGCAAAACAGCCACCCAGAAATCAGGCACCCCGTTAACATCGAGACTTTTATGTATTTATAGTTCAGCTTAAATTTTTACCAGGAGACGTTTTCAGAGCGTAACATGTGCTAGTCACCGCGTGAATTGCGAAACCAAGGACCTGTCTCCAAAGCGCTGGCCTTGACGATGTCATCTGGCGAGGCTCCGGGAGGAATGAAAATACCGCTGTGCAGCGGTGCCGGCCTGAAGGGGAGCAGGGTCTGGGGCCCTCTGAGCCCATAGGTCACTGGTCTGCACGGCAGGGCTGGCGTCTGTGCTCCTCCCCAATCTTCACCCCTCTATGCAGCGGGCCAGGGCAAACTCCGCTGGGGGCGGCAGGGAGAGGCTTGGTTTGAGTTCTAGGTCTGCCACTCACTGGCCAGGTGACCTTGGGGGATTTCTAGGCCCCACTGGGCACAGACAGGTTGGGAGAGATGCCAGGGTGACACTCTCCCCCCTCTCCCCCCCGCCCCGACCTCCCAGGTGATTTCAGACTCAGAGGCACTACAGCCTCCAGGGTTGCTCTGCAGCTGAGCCAGGTTAGGGACCTCCCCCTGCAGCTGCACAGCTGGCTGGGTTTTCTAAATACAACAGCCCTGCACCTCCCACTGAGCTACAAGCCCGCAGGTGGCTGGAGGAACATGTGGTTTCTGGATGTGACATGAAAGTTAGCATTTGCATGCTCTTTGTCTGGATTCCCTGGGTTTGTTTTTCTTGCTCTTACAGCCCTGAAATATTCCCCATCGTGTTTATGTTGTGGCAGGAGACGTGGAAGCCGAGCGCTGCTGTGCGGGGATCTGCTGGGCCTGCCTCCACCATCCTCCCGAAAAGTACCAGCAGGTGCTGGTGGATCCGAGCCAGCGAGCACCGAGCCCCTGCGGCGCCTGCAGGGCACCTGCCCACGGCCTGGCTCCCGCAGGTGCCCGCCGCCGCCGCCAACTGCATCATCACTCGCTCCGTGTGAGCACCTGTCCGTTGGTGACATCAGCTTCCGGGGGGTGCCCGTGAATGATTTCTGGCCCTCACTGCAGCCAGGGAGTGGCGGCTGGGATTATCCCCATTCTGCAGATGACAAAACCGAGGCTTGGACAAAACAACCACCATTTCTATGCCAAATGTTCCTTTCTTGCCGCCCTCTCCTCGCAGGGTGCTGCCCTCTAGACTACACAGTGCCCTCTGTTTGCCACTGAGGTACCCAAGCTCCACAGCCTCTGGGCACCCACAGCACATCCCCCTAGCTCCACCTGGGCCTCCCTTCTGGTTTGGATTATAAACCACCCAACCGGCCCTACCTTGCTTTTTTAAAATACATTTTTATTGTTGATAGCATTACAGATAGCTCCCATTTATCTCTTGCCTTTTAAATTGTCCGAGTCTGGCTTGCCTCTCGACACTGTGACCTCTAGGAGGATGCAGTCGTGGGCTGGCTGCCCCATGTTCGGCGGGGTGGCCACGGAGCCGACACTTCACCAAGCTTGTTGAACAGTGACTTGTTATTATTCCCCGAGGCTGGGATCCACGTGTCTGTCCACAGGAGGCTCGAGCCCTTGCCCCCAGGCCCTTGGCTGGCCAGCATGTCCAATGATTTTGTTTCACATTAAATTATTTTAAATTCCACGGACCCTGGTTTCACAATCAAATAATTCGATCTTGTTTACAAATGGAATTTTTACTTTTTGACAGTTTCTAGCGTTGCTGGGCTGGACGGTCGGCAAGCGCGTGTCCTCTCATGCCCCCCTGTCCATCTGGGACGGCGCGGCGTCTGGGAACTAACTGTCCGAGGGGCGGCCGGCGCCCAGCTGGGCCTTTCTCAGCCTCCCCTCCCACCTTCAGCTCCCTCCACGAGAAAACCCACAAGCAACAGAATTGGGAGGAACGCTTGCTACCTGTCATTCCAACATTCCTTTTTACAGATTAGGGGACGGAGGCGCAAGGTCCCAGTTCCTGTGGGCAGCCCGGGACCCGACACCAGGTCCTCGTTGCCCTCCTCCAGGGACTGTCCCGCCCTCCTCTCTACCTCCACCCTGGACTTACTAAGTCCCTGCCATGTGCCACCCACTGTGCTGAGTGAGAGAAAGATGTGGAAAGCCATGACCTTTGACCTCAGAAGCTCATACTCTGGGTGTTGGGGTGGGCTTGGATAAGTAGACAAAACAGGGGCCACACAAAGAGTCGGTGGCTCGGTGGCCAAAGGAGGAAGCCAGGGGCTAGGGAAGGCCGGGTGGAGGGAGACGGCGGTCCCAGCAACGGGAGCAGCATCTGTAGAACCTCGGAAGTGGGCCGTGCTTGGCGGTCACCGCCCAGCCCCATTTTCGGGAGGTGATCGGACCCAGCACGAAATTCTTAGACCAAGGCGCTAACCTTCAGTCTCTCCCCACGAGTCCCCTTGTCACCTGGGAGGATGCCTCCTTACCTAGTGATGTCACCACCACGGGAAACAGGTTTGGAGCCTCTCTTCTGGAACTTTCTCTAAGCGAGGAATGGTACGGGGGCAGATGGGTGTCACGGTTCTGTGGTCACTTGGATGGATGACCTGGCTTGGCTCCTGCAGCATCCCCACTGGGCTTGGCTCCGAATGGCATCTGGCTGTTTCCACACGTCGCCGGCTCTCCGAGGTCAGAGCTGAACTGCTGTGGAGGTCACACCATGGGCTGTGTCCACAGGCCGCCCCGGAGGGATCTGCTGTGGGCATCCCTGCTGGCCCTGGCCTGCAGAGGGTGGCCTCAGCAAGGGCCTAGACCAGTGGTCGGCAAACTCATGAGTCAACAGAGCCAAATATCAACAGTACGATTGAAATTTCTTTTGAGAGCCAAATTTTTTAAACTTAAACTATATAGGTAGGTACATTGTTATTAACTTAATTAGGGTACTGCTAAGGCTTAGGAAGAGCCACACTCGAGGGGCCAAAGAGCCGCATGTGGCTCGCGAGCCACAGTTTGCCGACCATGGGCCTAGACCAGTGGTTCCCAACCTTTATTTGGCCACGCTCCACCTAAGCAACTCTAAAACCCTGACCGCTCCCGCCCCCACCCCCCGTGACATATAATTCTCATTATTCAAAAAGTGAACTCCTAGTCACATGGAGGAGCCCTAAAAGGCCATGAACTTGGTCTAAACAAACTTCCAAAGAACATGGCATCCATGAAAGAGAAAAATAAAAGAACGAAAGGACAGTTGAAGTGCTGAGGAAGAAATCACTAAGAAGTTGTTAAAAAATAATAATAATGTGAAAAAATAGCCAATAAGATTTCAAAACACATAATAGAGAATTAAAATGCATAAATCTGTCACAATATATATTTATATACTGTATCTGAGGCCCCTGGGACCATAAGAAATGCAAAAAATTCACTGTTAATAACTCATTCTCGAATAGCCCCCTTAAAAATCAAATTGCCCCCCCGGCGGGCCTGTGCCCCACACTGGGAACCCCTGGCCTAGATACAGTCAGTGGGTAAGGACCAGGCAGCTTCCCCGCCCAACGACAAGCACCTGGTTGTATAAGACCCTGGGCGGCGAGTGTGGGGTGGGCTGGTAGGCTGTGAGGGCCTGGCTGCAGCCTGTGACTCTGGCCCATCCTCCAGGGACTCTGTGACCTCCCTGAGCCCGGGGCCCACTCCCCACCTCCAAGTCTTTGTTGAATTGTGGCCCCTGCCTGCCTCCAAGGCTGTCCCTGCATGGGCACTGCGGCCATACTGTGGGGACGCCCAGGGCTGGCAGGGGTGGGGAGAGATGGGCCGGCCCCTCCTGGGCGATGGGAATGTAAACCCAGCCACACTGACAATGAGGGTACCGTGTGGGCTGGAACTGGCACTTCTAGGAACCAAACTTCCTGTGTTGGTAGCAGTTAAAGAACTGGACACGTGGGCGAGCGGCTCCTAAGAAAGAGTGAGGTGCCGCGTAGTCTGTGTGCTTGCGTTGGGACGGGCGGATCTCTAAAATAAGCAAGGTGAAGAGGGCAAGACGCCAAAGAAAGTACGATCCATTTTTGTGTTAAAAAAGAAAAAGATTAAAAAGTGGGTGTTTGCTCTGGAGAAATACCTGGAAAGGGTTCGTAGGGGTCATGACCACAGGAGTCTTGAGCTCTGCCAGGTCCCTGAGAGCCATTAACTCACAGAGTCCCCAGAAGGAGGTGGGTATTACCCCTTGACCCACTTTGCAGATGAAGAAACTGAGGGCTGGGGAAGGGGAAGCACCGTGCAGGTCTGGGCAGTGTGTGGAGGTGCAGGGCGTGGTCTGAGCCGCTGGCCGTTCTGCTGCTGGCGAGGACGCCTTTGGGAGAGGGGCTGGCGGGGCTTCGGGCTGCCTTTCTGTGTCCTCTGTATTTTCTTCCCAGGAGCCTCTATTACTTTATTTTAGGGAATGTCAACAGGGTTACCTGGATAAAGGTAATGAGCCTTTAATTCCTTATTGTGCTTTTCTGCCTGACGAAGAAAAACATAGTTATGTCATTTTAAAAACTCTTCCCCTGCCCAGACAGAGAATACTGTGTCTCCCGGAAGGGGACCGAGAAACAATCAGGACTCCAGAAAGTGACCCCGTCCTGATGGGGCCCTCGGCACCGGCTTAGGGAGTCAGCTCTGTTGCCCATGGTTACCAGCATGTGGCAGGTGGGAGACCCCCGAACAATTCCCCATTTTACGGGGGGCGGGGGGGGGCAAAGTGAGGCTGAAAGAGGGACCACCCTGTGCCAGGAGTCACTCGGGGTCCACCCACGCCAGGCCTCGCCCCATCCAGCCTCACCCCACCCCCAGAGTCTGCCCTGCTGCCCTGGAAACAGGAAAAAACACCATTTCTGTGACATAGTTGCTTGATAACCAAGATCAAACATGCTCACGGAGCTTTCCTGAGTCCAGGATAGAGACCCAAGACCACCCGGGACAGGAGTGCCTCCCACTTGCAGGCCTGGCCCCCAAATGACAGCCTCACTTGTCGCGTCCCAGCTCTGAATCCGGGGAGCACTTGAGCTCACGGTCGCTGTGCTGTAACTGGTGCGGCTGCGGAGAGGGTGACGTTGCCATTGGTGACCACAGGTATCCTGGCAGCCTGGTGCAGAAAGGGCACTTCAGGCTCTAACAAGGGCCCGGTTTCCATGGGGACAGCGGAGCCTCAGTGTGGCAGGCATCCAGCTCTGCCCCCTCGAGCTCGGTGGTCTTATCAGAGCTCCCTCCCTGCCTCAGTTTCCCCATCTATAAAGCAATGGGAGTGGCGTGGATGACCTCAGGACGCCAGGGTGGGGCAGATGCTGGTGGTAGCTGTAAGTGACAGGGGCCAGAGTCTGTGGCCCTCACTTTCCAGGGGGTCAGATCCTCTCTGCCTGGTCCCAGGGAGAACACTGGGCCCGGACTCCAGGGGCTGCTCATCAGCCAGTGGGATGGTCTTCCAAGGCCGGGAGAGCCGCCAGCCTAACGCCAGATCCGCCGCCTACTGTGTGACCCACAGTCATGTGACTACACCCCTTTGGGCAAAGCAGCACCCACATCCGACAGCCACTGTCCCCGGATGCTGGTGCCTGAGGAGCCTCAGCGTTCCATCGGGCAGCAGGCCTCAGTCGGGGCCCCACAGATGCTGAGCTGGACCACCCAGATCTGTGAGCCCCGAGATCAGCGGGGGAACCGGGGAGGAGGCGGTCTGAAGGGAGCCCTGGAGTGAAGCCCGTCGGTGACCTGGGCAGGACCGGGGGTGGCAGGGAGGCAGAGGAACAAAAGTGACAGGAGTGTGGGCATTTTGAGCCAAGTCCTCACCTCGTGCACGATCTCCTCTGACCCTCACTCTGACCCTCGGACAGTGGTCGGCAAACTGTGGCTCGTGAGCCACATGCGGCTCTTTGGCCCCTTGAGTGTGGCCACGAAGTTTCAATCGCACTGGATGTGCACGCCCGCACGTGGTGTTTTGTGGGAGAGCCACACTCACGGGGCCGCCGTTTGCCGACCACTGCCCTAGGAGGTGGGTGCTGTCCCCTCCATTCTAAGAGGAAGCAGCCCCTTAAAGGGGGCGGGGGGCGGTGACTTCCCCAGTGTTGTGGCACCAGGAAGTGATGGCCAGAGCCCAGTGGGATGGTCTCACTCCAGGGCTGGAATGGGGGAAGCAGGAGCAGCACCTGGACCCTCTGCTCTGGAAACACTGGTCTGTGAGCTCCAAGCTGCGGCCCACGAGGGTCATGGGATTACTTGAGCAGGTGGCCACCACCCAATGGCAGGAAAAGAAACAGGATAATGCAGGTCTGAGATCACGATGCTGGGAAGTTAGAGTTTCTTTCCTGGAAACGGCGCTTCAGTTACACCTGTGAACGGCTCAGTGCTGCTAGTTTCTATGTGGCCACGGTGCCGGCCCCGGGGTGAGATGCGTCACCCTGGCCCGGGTCAGCAAGCTTCGGAAGCCGCTGCTTTCAGCTTCGCTCGGTTCTGCGGGGGCCTCCGGGCCTTTGTTCTCTGAACAAGAAGCCAGCGCTGGGCACAGGCAGGAGCCAGGATGTGTGGAGGGCTTCCGCCAGCGCCCCCACCCGCAGGACAAGGCAGCTGGCTCGTCAAGGTTTCGGCACCGCCGTGTGGGGTCTGAGAACTTGGGGCGTCCATGTTCAACTGCAGCGCCCGGGTTGCTGAATGGGGAGTCCCAAGGCCCTGGCGCTGGGCCTGAAGGGCAATGCTGTCTTCTCCTCCCTTGGTGTGGACCAGGGTGTGCCCCAAATTCTCGATCAATGCCCTAAAGCTGCTCCACCAGGCTGGCCTGCTCTCGGAGGTGCGGAGCCCCATGAGGTCACAGGGAGCAGGCAGAGAGAGAGCCTCTCCTGCCCCTGGCCCGTGGTGGCAACAGAGGAGAGTGTCTTGATGAGCAAGAGGATGTCAGGGGGATGGAGGGCAGGGCCCAAGAAGTGCCGGCTGGGCTGCGGGCTGCTGGGGAAGGAGTCGGGGCTTCCTCCTGCTGCAGTGGGCGCCTAGAGGAAGGCGTGGGGCCTGTTTGGCTTTCTCCAAATGGTCCTGCTCCAACCACAGAAAGCCAGGCTCGTGTTGGGAGACCCGGATGTGGGTGCAAACCCCGGCACATACATTTTCAGGAGCAGCCTTCTTGTCTTTGCAGGATATCCTGCCCTCCTCCCCGCCTTTGGGCATCCGCGGTCACTGCTGCTATTACTGCCACCTTTTTTAAGGTCTCCACAGCTGCAGCAGGCGGCTGCTTTTCTAAACGTCATTGAACATTCTGGATGTTTTTTTCCTCGGAGGGCCCTGGGGGCCGATGTAGGTGAAAGATCTCAATTCTGCAGGGGCCTCATGGAGGCAGCGAGGTTCGTCCCTTTCCCAGGCATGGGCCTCTGGTGTGGGCAACTCTAGGCACCTTGAAACCTTCAGCTGTGATAAACACACACAAAGCAGACCAGCATTCCAACACGAAGCCACTGTCCCCGCCGGCTCTCCCGTTTGCTCTGCTGGCTGGCCCAGGGGCTGCAAAAGGGGCCTTTGTTTCCCCAGAAAAACAGAACAAAACAGAGATAACAACAAAAAAAATCTCAAGCACACTCACACACACACACGCACACACACACACACAAATGCAACCGCGTCCGTCCGTAAGCAGGACTGAGGCTGGACGCGCGGCCGCCCTGCCTTTGTGGACGTGAACAAAGATATCCCACGGTTGGCTTGCTCTTCAGTCTGTGGGCTCGTGGTGTGAGGAGGCCTCCTCTGATCTCAAGTTTTG